TCAAAGGTATAAAAATATCGAATATACCTTCTAATATGCATAAGATTTAGCAAAAAGTTAAAGGCTGGATTAAATGTCGTTTTCAAATGTTCATATTTTTGTTTGATATTTTCTCTACCTACCATCCACTTATATAGGTACCGGTAACGATTTGGTAGTATTAATTTCGTAGTCATTGCTATCCTTCAATAAATTTATTTTCATTAAATACTTAGTAAAGGGTTTTAAAACTTTTTTTAAGTATTATGTGAAATATGGAACATTGCTGTCTTTTATATTAAAGTAATTAAAGAAAATGTATTATGTGAATGAAATTATTGTGTCCCCCCACAACACAGCTCTATGAGTACTATTCCAGGCGTTCTAATATCTATTTAAAGGTAATATATATATATATTATAAATGTTGCCATTTATAATCTTTCAACTCCTGAGAATTTTCAAAGAAGGAAAATCCTTTGCAGGCAGGGGTACAGAGAGTTTGCTGAAGGGCCTTCTTCTTGATTCAAGAGCAGTAGGAATGTTTGTTTTGTCAGTGGTAACAGACAGCAACCTCACAGTTCTTCTTGTGGGTGTGTTTAAATTTTTCCTTGTCAGCAACCTTGTGTGTCAAAAAGAAGAATCAAAGACTTCTCCACACTTTAAAGTAGTTTTTAATATATTTAACGTAGTGCTTTTCAAACTTTAATATGAATTCAGATCGCTTGGGGGGTCTTGTTAAAACGCTGACTGTGGCTCAGTAGGTCGGGGTCGAACCGAACCGGCCGCCACCAGTGCTGCTCAGAAGGGACCACACTGAGCAGCAACGATTTGACTAACAGCACCCGTTTCCCTTCACTGCTCCAGGCCCTTCATTTTTTATGAAATGCCGCCACAGTGGAGCTTTTCAGAGCTAAAACCAGGTCTGTGGCCCTGCTTAGCTTCCTGTGGCCACCATGCCAAATTACCACAAACTTAGTGGCTTAAAACAACACACACTTATTGTCTGCAGTTCTGCAGGTTCAAAGACCGGAATGGGTCTCACTGGGCCAAAATCCACCTTTCCCAGTGGATTGTAAGCTCCTTGAAAGCAGGACCTGTGCATTGTCACTCATCCTGGAAACCTATTGTGAGAACCTAGTAAGTTCTAGATCCTGTGCTATGTGGTTAGGATAAAAAGATGCTCAGAAACATGGTCTGGTCCAAAACCTGATACACCCTAACCTCCCAGTGAATGTGAATTGAATTACGATTCAGGAATCTCAATTCGGTATTAAAGTTCAGAGTCACATAATTGGGAATTCTGCCTTCTCCCTTCTTTCTTGCAGATTATGCAAAAGCAGGATGTCAAGGCCTTATTATTATAGGAAAACTGAATTGATTTTAATACATTAGACTTTGAATTTGGAAGTGTCTATAATTTTGTAGGATAACAAGATTCTATTCACTGATGTAAATAAAGAACTTGAAAACATAAGCAAAGGATAGTATAGTGTATGGAACAGCAAGGGAGTTAGGAGCCAGGATCAAGACACTTCATTTATTGAAATGCTAACACATCTGCAGGCACTTAATCTAAAATCAAAAGTGATAACATATTCTAACCAGGAAACCACGTACCATGTTATATTCATTCAAATATCACATTTCTCTAAAAAGGTGGGATATTTTCCCTCTTTAAAAGTTAATATTTGGGTAATGATGACTTTAGAGCTGGGTAGAACTTCAAAGATGATGATCTCAAAGGTCCACTGCAGCTGTAAAATTCTAACATGGTTTTATTTCACAGATTCGGCTAGTGAGGCCCAGAGACGCTCTGTTTCTAAAATTGCACAGGTGGTTAAAGACAGTTTGAGGAGAACCAGGTTACTTAACACATGGACCTGCACTTTCAGTAGTGGAAAGTGGGCGGGGGGTGGGGGGGCGGGCAATAAAAAGGATACGTTTTACAATCTATAAAATAGTCCTCTGTTTTACATTAGCAAAGCTGATGGGATATTCCTAGTGCCGACGGCTTTACCTGTGCCACAATCATCAATCTAGTTTTACTTCGTTTCAATGGTTTTCTAACTAATTCAGGAGAATGGCTGATAATATGAAAATTATTATTTTCATTGTCAAATAACTATATATCAGTATTCCCACATCGCTAATGCCTCTTCTACTTCATTGAGCAGTATTGTCACTGTTTAACCTTGGTTAAAAAGAACTTAATATTCACCAGGCTACCATGAGATATATCAACTACTTAGGTGTGATTGAAATAGTTTTTTAAAATAATTGCAATTGGCTTTTAGAATTCTTATTTCCATGTTGCTTTTATCGATTAAGCCTGAACTGCAGACCTCTTACCAAGGAATTTTATTTTTAGAAGAGACACAAATCCAAAATGGTGGTCCAATAAAATAGCCTATGAATTGCTGTTGGGAGATTATAATCCTGATTTGCGTGCTTTTGGAAACAGAATTCTGAAACGGCCCTCAGGGTTCTCCCTGTGGTGAACGCACAACTTCTCCAGGTTAGGGCTAACCTCGGTGCAGCTGTAGGGGGTTTGCTCAGGGAATCAGGGTCTCAAATCACTTCACCTTTAGATAAGGTGAGAGCCTTTGTGGTCTGAGCCAATCAGGTGAGCTCTTAGAAGGGCCTGGGCTCCTCCGGGCAAATGGGATTCAGGATGGGGGAGGGCGTCCAGGGAGGAGGCCTCGCCATGGCTGAGGGGCGTCCAGGGCTGAGGATGGGGCGGCCAGCAAGGAAACGGGGACCCGGCTGCACAATCACAAGGAACTGAATTCAACAACCAACCTGAGTGAGTCTGGAAGCAGATTCCCTCGGAGCCCCAGGTAAGAACGCAGTGCGGCCGACACCTTGTTTTCCTCCTGCCTTGGGGGACCCTGAGCAGAGAAGGCCGTGCTGTGCCGGGACCTCTGACCTCCAGAACCGTGAGCGAATGCATGTCTCTTGTTTTAGGCCACGAAGTTTATCCTTGTTACAACAGAGCGATAGGAAACATGCACTTGCTCTTTGGGGTTGTACTTTTTTAACTTGCAGTCATGTTTATAAGAAGAAAGGGGGAAAAA